TAAATGTGGATCTCTTCCTACTCTTTTTAGAATGACTCTGTCTTCTGTTAATGAGGTCTTGTAATCAGTTTGAGCCTAAACAGGGGCAAAGCCATTGTGGCTGCTGGCAGTCATGGGCAGAGGACAGTAAAATCCATTTTTTTGTCCCTGAAAATTAATAGCAGGAATTTAAGTAAAAAGATTTTAGTGTCTTCAGTTCTTTAGGGAGCAAACAATAGTTAAACCATTGTCCCTGGGATTTTACAAATGCAGTGTGATGAGTGAAATAAGGAAGAAGTGACAGGTGATCAAAAAGAAGGGGAGAGAAAGGGATTATTTCCTTAACTTGCTGATGTGGTCAAAATATCAACGTATAACTCAAGTTTGTAATTCTACTTGACCATATGCTCAGTTTTCCATCCTCACCTATCGTAACCAGACCTCGCTGTTGACAGGAGGATGCTGCAATCTGATACTGTAATGAATTTCTAAGGATGCTGGCTTATAATTTAACAAATCTTTTGTTGTACTCTCGGAGGGTTTTTGGGCGGGTTTTTTGGGTTTATTTGGGTTTTTTTTTGTTTTTATTGTGTTTTTTTTTTCTTTTAGAAAACCTTCAACAAAAGTGAGGAGTTAAGTAAGGCATTGCTGATATTTTTAAGACCCATACAAACAGTAAATAATAGAATTTGGAAATAATAAAAGCAAGAATAAACTTATAAAAACAAGACTTGTTCTGCAAAGTAGACCCATGAGGGCAATATGACAAATCCTACAATTTTAATCTGACATTTTCTGTGCCGTGAGACTCTTCTCCTTCCTCACCATGACTTAAAATAATACCTTACTTCTGCTCCACAAGGGATAGAGTCTAAATCTAGAAGGGCTAACAATAGTTTCATTGACTTAAAAAAAAAACAGCAGACAAAACAAATCCAAAACAAAAAAAAAATGTGCAAAAAAATTTGAAAAACTTAAAGCCTATTGTCATTTAGAAATTACTGCAAATTTCTTTTAGAATGTTGCTGTGTCCTGGGAAATTTTGAAAAGGAATTTTACTGTACTCCAAGAATCAGCCATGGGCTTATTCTGTCCCTACTTACAAGCTAAAGTATAGAAATAGTAAATGATAATGTACAATTGTGCAGTGCTGTTTTACAGGAACTAAGATTCAAGGAAATACATCAAAGAAACACTACTGAAGCTGTCTTCATAGCTTTGTCCTTCCTCTTTCTTCTGTGCGGACATACTCTTTAGATAAATCAGATAAATTAGATTGGAACATATTGAAAAATTCTATTTTTTTTTTTTTTTATGGTTAGGTGGAATGTATTACTTATAAAGCAAAAGCTGTAGTAACTATAGCAACACTGTATTTCTAACTGCACTAGAAATTCTGGGTTTCTAAAACCATTTTTTGATGTGTGGTAAAGTTAATTACGGAGATAAGTAGAATGCGGTCTGGCATTTTCAGTTCTTGTAATCAATATTTGATTCATTAGTTTGGCTCTGTGATATTTTTTTGCCATCTGCTTCCTACTCTGTCAAGCTTGTGATTATTTAGAGTCACCTGATGCCCATTGATGGGCAAGTGGTACGTTTTTTTAACTGTAAGATCCTAATTTTTCCTGCTGGTAACTAGCAAAAAGAGAAACAATACCTAGACTACATCACGGTACTTCAGCTCTAGTTTTTCTTGAGTTTGGCAATTAATGATCAAGAGCCCTCATTGCACTTGTAGGAAATTATGAATTTGACTTTATGTTTAAAGCACAAAAGCCAGTAAAGGTAAAGCATCTTCACATATGTTTTTACTATTTCACTTTTTAAAATGTTTTCATTCTCTTAAGCATAAAAATCCTTTAATAAGGTAACAAGATCTTTTATTTTTCTGGGTTTTTTTTAATTGAGCTGAGTAAAACATGGCTATGGACATGCAATTTGAGTAAGTTTGGAGGCGGAAGAAACGATTCATAAAATATTCATTGCAGTCCCTTTTCTTAATAGCAGGTAGTAGCAGTGAGGCTGAAGAACTACTGGAAGGATAACTTGTTCCTTTCTATTCTATTTTTCCACTTTCTATCTGGCCAGTGATTCCTAGTCTTGTATCTTCCTCTCTTGCTGCAGTATTTTCCAATAAAATGCTT